AGGCTCCAAGGCGACCGGCCGCGACGAGCTCATTGGCGGCAGCAGCCAAGGGTTCGAGGCGGGTGCAAAGACGCCCGAGCCTCAGGCGGCGCACGTTGTTGCGCACACGGCTCCCGTGTCGCCCAGCTCGGCGGGTACCTCTGCGGCGCACGCATCGGTGGCCAAGACGGCGCTGGTGAACCAAGCCATGCTGCGCCTCGACTCGCCCGCGCCCACCGAGGCGTCGCAGGCGTCGCAGGCGTCCGACGGCTCGCACCCGTCGTCGAGCGATCCGGACTCGATCCTGCGCTCCTTCACCAAGGCGCGCAACCGTCGCGACGGCCCGCTCTTTATGCGCACGCTGGCGCGCTTCAATGCGGCGCTGGTGGCGCTGCGCGACTCGGGTGCGCTGGCGGCCAACATCGCGGCGCTGGGCAAGGCGACGGGCGTGCCCGAGGGCATTTGGCGGCTGGTGCAGGACCAGGTGTACGCGCGCATCGTCGGCCCGCGCGTCGAGGAGCTCGGTCGGTACACGGCGTTCAGCGACAACGTGTACGGCGAGCTGCTGCCGCGCTTCATGTCCGAGATCGCACAGCTCACCCAGCTCGGGCCGGGCAAGGTGTTTGTGGACCTGGGTAGCGGCGTGGGCAACTTGCTCATTCAGACCAGTCTGCAGACGGGTGCCGAGGCGTACGGGTGCGAGATGATGCCCATCCCCGCGGGGCTGGCGGCGGAGCAGATCGGCGAGGCGCAGGCGCGGTGGGCTGCATGGGGTCTGCGCGGCGGTGGAGAGGTCGAGGCATGGCTGGGCGACTTCGGCGAGCACACGGGGGTAAGGGAGGTGCTGAAGCGCGCCGACGTGGTGCTGGTCAACAACTACGCCTTCTTACCCAAGACCAACGAGAACCTCAGCCTGCTGTTTCTCGATCTGCCGGACGGCGCACAGGTGGTGTCGTTGAAGCCCTTCGTCCCGCCCGACTTTCGCCTGACGCAGCGTACGCTTTCGAGTCCGCTGGCGATTCTGCGCGTGACGGAGCGGCTGTACACCTCGGGCTGTGTCAGCTGGGCCGATGGTGGCGGCAAGTACTACATCCAGACGGTGGACCGCAGTTTGGTGCGCGAGTTTCTCGAGCGGCTCAACGGCGATTCAGTTCGGGTCAAGGGGTCCCGTTCGAAGCGGAGGGATGCATCGGAAGAGCAGGGCGGCAGCGACCTTATGGTCGGACAGGACGTTAGGCGCAAGCGGTGGAAAGCAGCTGTTGACAGCGAAGACGACGACGAGGTCGTATAGACACGCACACACCTTTGGAAATGCGCACTGCCTTTTCATTCTATGGTTGGGAGCAAGGGTATAGAGAAGGGGGGGGTTTTACACCTTTTCGGCGCCCATGAGGTGCATTGCCGTTTCGAACGCAAACAGCGCAGCCGCATTGGTGGGGAAGGCTCGAAGCAGGCATGGCAAGAAGCCGGTGTATACTCCGCGTACTTTGAGGTACCAGGGTAGCTGTGCACCACGGGCGTTCCAGACCGACACCCAGGCTGAGCGGATGCTGGTGTACTGGGGCTGGGTGATGTTATCCGCCATCATCCTGTTCTTGACCACGTCGGCGGGGAAGGCTGTAAGCCAAAACACCTCTGCGGCCAAACCGCCGGATACAAACGTGACCGTGGCGGGTGCTAGGCCGTATTCGGTGAGTGTGCGTTGGAAGTAGGCGTAGCTACCGAACATGGCAGCGAAGGAGCTGCGGAAGAGCAGTGTTGCAGGCAAGGCGTGCCACATGCCCAACACGCCGCGGTGCGCAACGATCTGCTTGACACAATCCACCGGCCCCGTATACCCCACCCGCGCGGCACTTTTCTGATGTGAGAGCGGCAGAGAGACGCGTTGTGTCTGCATCTGAAGCTTGGCCTTGACAAGTTCCACGGGTGTGGTGACGAAGCTGTTGGTCCATCCGGCAAACAGGCCCGCTAGCGCATGGTACTTGACATCCAACTTGGCTGCATCGTCGGTAAAGTCCGGATTGGTAAGCCGCGCAAGAAGCCGACGGTAGTTGTGCAGACTTCCCAGCAGGACCGAGTCGGTGATCGCCCAGCCGAGCGCGGGAGGTGTTGCGCCCTTGTACAGCCCGAGCAGCGACTCGCGCCGCGCGAGTTGGAGAAAGCAATCCAACGGTCCGGTGTAGGTGCCGTATGGAGAGCATTGCATGCGCACCTTGATCGTATCGAACGGATGCCCCACCAGCAACTTTGTCAGCCCCGACACGGTGCCGCCCACGAACCCCTTGATCGACGTGCCCTCTTCCGCGATTGACTTCTTGCCGCGTCTCGGTGTGGTGTCGTGTTGTGCCAGAGGCGCTGTGGGCGCGGGTGGTGGTTCTGGTGGGGAGATGGAGAGCGCAGAGAGTGTGAGGGTGGGCACCAGCGATCCACCCCATGCCGGGGTGAAGTGCGCAGTGTACATGTCTCTGCCGAATCAACTTTGCCCAGCAACGGAAGAGTTGGAGATGGTGGTGGTGGCCGGTGCGGAGCGAGCGGTTTGGTCATCAAAGCTAACCCCCCAAAAAGGCGCCGATGCTCAGCCGGAATCTGCGAAGAAATCCACACTGAAATCACGGAATTCGGTCACTCTCCGCGCCGCCGCTGACATGCACTCTTCGCTCTCCGCGGAGAGACCCTTCGCACCGACCAGCCTCCACGATCCTCCTCTTGGGCCCCCTCGCCATGCCCACATCAATACCGCTGGCACAGCACATCCCCACCCTCATCTTCCTCGCCGTCACCGTGCTCACAGCCGCACTCATCAACCGCACCCAGCCCACGCCGTACATCGACGAGATCTTTCACGTTCCTCAGGCCCAACGTTTCTGTTCCGCACTCGCCCACGCCTCACCCAGCCAGGTATGGGCGCAGCTCGGCAGGATCGATTATGACCCCAAGCTCACCACGCCGCCGGGACTGTACCTCGTATCGTTGGCGCTGACAAAGGTGCTGCCCGGCTGGAAGTGCAGCGACGTGGTGTGGCTGAGAAGTACGAATCTCGTGCTGCTCCTGACGCTGCCGGTGCTTGTCGCCCGCATCGTTGAGCATAGCGAGCAGCCGCCTTCGTACGCCTCGGCGGCAAAGAGTGCGGTGCAGGCAAAGGAGAAGCAGAACCCCGTGTCGAGGGAGCAGATACGCGCACTGCAGGACAGGGCGAAACACGATCGTCCTCCCGCCCCGGCCCCGGCCCCGACCCGACTTCCAGCAGCACCGTCTGTGCCCAAGCGATCGCAGGGGAATGCGGCACTGCCAGTAAGGCTGAAGCGGCGCGAGGCGAGTGTGTACATCATGGGCGTCGCATGTACCATATCGATGGTGCCGCCTTTGTGGTTCTTTGGATTTCTCTACTACACGGATGTGGCGAGCGTGTGGCTGGTGCTGGCGTGCATCGTGCTGTACAACCGACTCACCGCCGCGCCTTCGCTGCAATCCCTAGCACTCGCTGGCACCGCATCGCTGCTGGCCGTGCTGGTCAGACAGACCAACCTCGTCTGGGTCGGCTTTGCAGCCGGCCAAGCCACGCTTGCTGCTGTGCAGCCGGCATCGAAGAGCTCGGGCCTGCTGGTCGAGGTGCGCGATGTGGTTCTGCTGGCATTCGGGCGTGCTCGAGGCAGCACGAGGTTCTGGACGACGCTGGGATACAATGTGGCTGCAATGATGCCGATGCTTGCGGGGGCGGCGTGGTTCGTGCGCTGGAACGGCTCGATCGTGCTCGGCGACAAGGCGAACCACCAGGCAGGCACGCACTTGGCGCAGATCGGATACTTTTTGCTCTTCGCCACTGCATTCGGCCTGCCCGCGCTCGTCCTATCGCTGAGCACGTCCGCGCAACAGGGCACGGGTGGAACGTCAATGCTCACTTCTGTGCGAGGGGCGGTCCGAACGGTCGCCTGCCGTGCATTCGGGACAATTTGGCGGTGCATGCTTACACTGCTCATCGCCGTGCTCTTCTGGGCGGCTGCAGCGTACTACACGATCGAGCATCCGTTCCTGCTGGCCGACAACCGCCACTACACCTTCTACCTCTGGCGGCTCTTTCGGCGCTCACTGGGCCCTGTGCAGCCGCGCTTCGCCCTTGTGCCGATGTACGTCGTTGCGCTGTATGCATGGGCTCTAGCGCTGGTCCGCCGCACGAGCGTTTTGCGCGGAATACTGCTCGGGTGCGCAACGGCCGCAACGCTGGTGCCCACCCCGCTCGTGGAGCCGAGGTACTTCGTCGTGCCCTATGTGCTGCTGCGCGTGTACACGCAGCCAGTAGAGAAAGAGGGAGCGGTCAAGTGGGTGTACCTCGCTGCAGAGGCGGGCGTGCTTGCCGCGGTCAACCTCGCCACCGTGGGGCTGTTTGTGGGTAGGCCGTTCGAGTGGGCACCCACCGCGGTGGACCGAAGCCGAAATGAAGCCACGAAGATGCGGTTCATTTGGTAGACTCTATTGATGCACTGCACGTCTCGAATCGCACGCAGTTGCGCAGAGCGGTGCTGCGGTCCGGAGAGGGGAGGGGGCAAGGCTGCATTGTGTACCGGACCGCGGCACGGACCGTGTTCAGTGCGCAGGAATACGCGAGCTATAGCCGAGGCGCCGCTTCGAGAAGTGTCCCAGACGCCCGGTTTTGGCACATGGCGTCAGGTAGTGCGGACCGCGCGCCACCAACGCCGCATTCAACGTTGCAAAGCGTGCCACGAGGGACGTGCTAGGACCCACAGTTGCCACCCGGGAGTTGGCTCCCCCATTCATGCACGTACCCCACCTGGGGATGTACGCCACCTGCCGCTAGCTGGCAAGGCGAAGTTCGCCGTCGGTTCATGAGCGCAAAGAAGAAAGAAAAATCGCGCAATGACCCACTCCTATTCGGCCATGCACATATAACCCCCTTCGATGCGCAGGCCTCGTCTGCGACCCCGCAACACTCCGCGATGCTGTTTCGACTTGTGACGCTGCTATGCGTGTCCACGCTCTGGACGGGCGCGTTGGCGGTGAGCGACATCACGTTCAGCTCGTCGGCTCGTCGCGACCACCGCCCCGAGGTGGTGGTGCGCCACTACACACTCAACGTCACCTCGACCACGCTGTGGCAGGGCTGCGAACCGTTTGGTGGCGTGGTTGTAAACGGCTCCTTCCCCGGGCCGACACTGCGCGCAAGGGCCGGAGAGATCCTCCAGGTCCGTGTGTGGAACTTTTTGGCCGATCAGAACCTCACCATGCACTTTCACGGACTGGCTATGATCCAACACCCCGTCATGGACGGCACGACGCTCGTGTCGCAGTGGCCCATCTACCCGGGTAGGTTCTTCGACTACCGCATCCCGCTTACCGCCGAGGACAAGGGCACCTACTTCTACCACTCGCATGCAGGCGTCCAGGCTATGACCGCCCACGGCGCTCTCGTGGTCGAAGATCCAAGCGGCCCCTACAACGACCCTGCCCAACTCGCTCACCAGGAAGAGAAACACCCAGGATCGGTAAAGCTCAAGCACGTCCAGGGAACAAAGGGCCTGAAGAAGGGCGGAGGCAGCGACGGTGCAGGGCCGTATAGTTGGGACGAGGATCGCGTGCTCGCACTCGGCGACTGGTGGGGATACTCGTCGCTGGATCGCATCCATTCGCAGCTCAACGCCGACCCCTTTGCGTGGCCCGGTTCAGCGACCAAGCTGCTTCTCAACGGTCAGTCAACACCCCTTGCGGCGGAGACGTGCAATGCCACCAAAGCCCAACTTGTCGGTGTGGACTGCAAGGACGCGCCGGCTTGTGGTGCCGGAGTAGGGTGGCCAGAAGTGCAGCTGGATTACGGCAAGACGTATCGGCTGCGCATGGTGGGTGCGGTATCGCTTATGTACGTCAGTGCAGCGATCCTCGAGCCGGGCTCGAACCGCCTGCAAAACATGACGCTGATCGAGGCAGATGGATCGTACCTTGCTGCGCAGACGGTCGACCGTGTCGAGTTGGCGTCCGGACAGAGGTACTCGGTGCTGTACACTGCGCCAACACGCAAGGAGGTCGAGAAGGACAGGTCCGGAGGCGTGCACTGGATGCGTATCGAGTCAAGGTGGCGTGCAGGTCCCAGCATGTGGGTCAAACTCACCTACCCCTCTGCGCGCCACTCGTCTCCTGCCGTAGTGGACCCACCGAGTGTGGCCAAGGACGCGAGGTTGTTGCCCAACGAGACGTTTGGCTGGGTGACGGCGGATATGGCGCCTCTTCGCAGCGGCGGGGGTGAGGAGTGGTGGTATGCAGACAAGATGCCTCGGGACGATCAGGTGACACGCACGGTGGTGATTGATACGCAGCAGGTCAAGTTCTACGCGTCCAAAAGGGGCGTGCGGTGGGATGAGAATGGCGAGGTGTTTGACGATACCGACGTGGCTACTCCTGCGCCCTACCTCGTGCGAACCATGCTGGGCGACATCACCCTGCCTAGTGCAGATCAGTTCAACACAGCCCTCCTCAACCCCACCTCGTACAATACCTCGTCGGGTGTGCAGCCGATCGTCAATGCTACATCGAGCGAACTCGCAGCTGCGGCAGAGAGACGTTGGGCACAGGCGTACGATTCGCGTCTCAACATGTACTTCGCGCGCCAGCACGAGGTGATCGACATTGTACTCGTCAATCGTCCGTCGCAACTCAGCTCGCAGGTGGAGATTCATCCCTGGCATATGCATTCGCACAAACACTGGACACGCACCATCCATCCCGGAACCTTCTCCTTCTCGCGTCTCAACGCCATCTACGCCTCGAACCCAAATTTCACCAATCCCATCCAGCGCGATACCTCCATCGTCTACGCCAGCCCAGGTGCTGCGTACCTCAACCAATCCCTCCCCTCCACCAACGACGACGGCGGCTTCGCCGTCCTAAGGTACAAGGTCAAGTCGAACAATGCCGGATTCTTTTTGCTCCATTGCCATCTCCAGTTCCATCTCGCAATGGGCATGGCCACCGTCTGGTCAATCAACCCCGCCGCCCTCAATCCCCTCCACGCCAACACGCACAACATCCAGGGCCTCGACCCAGCCTACCTCACCCCAGGCACAAACGTCCCCGCACTCACCTAGCCGCACACGCACACGTAGGGTCCGATTGAAACCGCATTGAAATTTCGCAAAGACATGTCCACCTCTGCTTCTGGTCTATCCAACACGAGAACCGCAAAAAAAAGAGGTTTTATGGAGGGGGGGAAAGTCTCAGCAGCGAACAGAGCTGGCTACCCTGCCCACTGTGCCGACTTTATATCGCCAGGATTTACCACACACGCGTCTCGAGCAGGAGGTCCGACTCGGGGGCGAGGCCGAGGCAGGCGCGCAGGAAGTTGGTGCACGCGGCGCGCTGGCGGTTGAGCGAGTTGACCACGTCGGTGCCCGGCTTGACGACGGGCGCCTTGAGCGAGTACGACAGCAGCGAGAGCACCGAGTACATCGAGTTCCACTCCTTGTCGTCCGCGCCGGCCTTGTAGGTGATGCGCGTCATGAGCTCGGCCAGGATGGTGAGGTCGAGCAGCAGCGGCGAGGCGAGCAGCGAGTCCTCGCACAGGTTGGTCACGTACAGCCGGTTGCGGCCGCCCATGCACAGCTCGGACGTGTAGTCGTCCATGGCGACCTTCTGGTCACCCACGGCGGGCTGGTACTTGATCACGATGCAGTGGTCCGGGTGCTCGCCCTTGTCGGCCTTGCCGTCGGCGGTCTTCTTGCCGGGCACGGCGGGGCGGTACAGCAGGTGGTTGGCCGCACAGCAGTCGTCGACGACGCTCGCCTTGGAGATCTCCTTGGACTTGAACTGGCGCTGCGAGCTCAGGTTGTAGCCATCGTTGTTGCCCAGGTGGTTGTACGAGGCGATCGAGAGCGGCTTGATGCCGGCGTTCACCAGGAACTCGGCGAGCACCGACTTGACCTTGGTCTGGCCCGTCTTGAGGTCGTCGCCGCCGATGAACGCCTTGTGCTTCTCGGCGAGCTCGATGCAGCCGGGCACAAAGGTGTTCTGCGGGGCGCCGTTGACGTAGGGCGCATTCTCGAGGATGCACGCAATCGCAAAGATGGTCGAGGGCGACACCTCGTCGTGGTTCTGCTCGACGGCCTTGAGCAGGTTGTCGGCGGTGTCGTTGACGCCGGCGAGGATCTCCGAGTAGCGCTCCGTGTTGGCGGTCCAGACGACGATGACCTTGTCGAGGTTGTTCTGGCGCTTGAACTCGCGGATGTCAGCGCGGATCTGGTCGACGTGGGCCGCCTTGGACTGGCCGGGGAGCGTGTTGTCGGCGCGCTCCTCCTGGTTCTGGGCGATAAAGTCCGGGTAGTAGACCGAGGCGAGGGGCTTCATCTCGGCCATGTAGGGGGCGACCTGGCGCTGCAGATCGTAGTCGAGCACCTTGGAGCGCGCCATGGCCTGGTCCATGGGGAGGCCCGAGATGTCCCAGCCGCCGAGGACGAGGTCGTTGGGGTGGACCATGGGGAGGACGTTGGAGAAGGGCACCCAGACGTCCTTGCCCGTGGCGGGGTCGGTGCCGAGGCGGATGGTGGAGGCGCGAACGAGCGAGCCGTAGTAGTTGGGCACCTGGACGCCGTCCTTGTTGTGCCAGGTGATGTTGTGCTTGTTGGCGAGGATGGTGGCGGTGATGGTGGTGCCGTTGTTGCCGCCCCAGCCGACCATCATGAGACCGGTGCGGGGCACCTTGCGCTCGGTCTTGAACTGGTACTGACGCTCGATGGGCGTGGCGACGTACTCGGTAGTGCCGTCGTCGTGGTGGACCTTCTCGACGTGGGTGTTGAGGTACTTGTAGTCGGTGGTGATGGCCTCGTTGGTGTACTGCACCTTGTCCGAGTTGACGCGGATGAACTCGCGCTGCTCGTGACGAGCGTTGGTGGGGTTGACGGGCACATTGGCGGCGTTGCCGTTGCCGTTGGCAGCTTGGCCGTTGGCGGCGTTGTTTCCGTTAGCGACTGGGGCCATGCTTGCGGATGAGTTTGAGGAGGAAGAAGAGGAAGGAAAGTTTAGAAAGAGCGGTTCGTTGGGTAGATTGGCTTTAATGCGCTGCTAGGAAGGCAGGGGCGGAGTGCTTGCTGCCCCTGTGCGTGTTGTGCGACGAGCAAAGCTGGTTGGAGAAAATGGTGGGCAACGGTGTATTGCTGCAAGTCCTGTGGGTGAGACAATGACTTGCAAGGGACGATTGGGTGTCGTTTTGAATAGGAAAGTGGTAAGATCCGGCGATAGATTTGGTATGCGGTGAGGAGAGGGGAAGGGAGATCCGACGGTTACGCTTGAGGCCCTTTATACGGAGCTGCTGGGCGAGGCACGTTCGGAAGGAGCGGGTGCGGATCCAGCCCACACACACACACACTCTCTCTCTCTCTCT